GCCAGCCTGGGCTACAGAGTGAGTTCCAGGAAAGGCACAAAGCTACACAGAGAAACCCTGTCTCGAAAAACAAAACAAAACCAAAAAAAGGTTCGGAGGTTTAGTCCATAATTGTTATGATGGGTGACTGCAGGCAGACATGGTGGGAGAAGGAGCTGAGAGTTCTACATCTTGATCCTCAGACAGCAGGAAGTGAACTGCGACACACTTCCTCCAGCAAGGCCACACCTCCTAATAGTGTCGCTCCCTATGGACCAAGTATTCAAATACCTGAGTCTCTAATGGCCATTCCTATTCAAACTACCACAAAAAGGCTGCAGAATGTTGGCTCCATTTGCTTATGTGACAAGATGTTTTCATCTTTTTACTTCATACTGCCAGAGGCCTAGGATAAGAAGACTATCAATAACTAAGTTCTTCTTAGATACCAAGAACAGATGAACCCTTTGAACACTCGTGTTTGTTCTATTTAACAATATTGATCAGTGTTCTACTTCTTGAGTAAGAATGCCTTGGATATATTTTTAAGTTATTATTCAAGCAAAATAGGAAGTTGTAAGTTTGTGTTATCTGGAGCGTTTTTTACATTTCCTGTTTTCTGTCCACCTCTACTAATAATTTTGAAACTGATACACAGAATGCTAAACTTCTAGAAGACATCATCAGGATCTAGGCAAGAAGTACATGGACATATGTCTACTGTGTTCTTTATCTCAGTTCTCATTGGATATCAGATTGGAGCAGGTCTTTGAAGTATTTGAAGATTACTTATCTATCTGAAATATATGTATACCTAGAAGACTTAACTAACATGACTACAAGTATGATTATCATAGATGACTAATTATTAATTTATTTTTAAATTATCCATTACAATTTTAAATGAGTTGTACAAACATAATACCTTAAACAAGAGCAGAAATATACACACAGCATAACAAAGTTAACTTTAAATTTGTATCAATAAATTAAAATCTATACCGATGTAAAACATTTAAACAAGTTGTTGTTCTTTAAAATAGGTTCAGCAAGCCTATACTATTTTTAGCCTTGGAGAAAAAATGTTTACCTATTAGTTGTAATTTGTTGACTTCTGAAAGAATTTATGTCTGGAGCATTGGGTCTGTTGCATGTCCAGGACCTTTTGACCACCAGGTCTTAATTTATTTTGAGATTGATAGTATAAAAATGACCGTAAGTCATTGTATCATCAAGTATTTGAATATGAGGTTAGGGCACATGGGCATCATGCCTTTGAAGAGGAAGGGATAATAGAAGTGAAGAAACTGTTTCTTGAACAGGTATGTTTTCATGTACTCCCATTTGATATATTCTAACAAGAACCCTAGAAGATAGGTACACAGTTTCCCATACTGACAAATCATGAAGTTAAGGGTAAAATCAAGAAAAATGCTTTAAAAATCAGTGATTAGGACTGATAAGAAAGCTCAGTGGATAAAGGTGCTTGCTGCTAACCCAGTGAGCTTTGTTCAGTTCCCAGAATCTACACAGCATAAGTAGAGAACCAACTCCCAGAAGTTGTCCTCTAACATCTACATTCACTCTGTGGCACACACGTGAAAAAGTACTTTTAAGTCACAGGGATTAACTGTAGCTGTTGCATCTTGTCCTAGTTAAGGTTTCTATTGCTGTGAAGAGACATCATGACCACGGCAACTCTTACAAGGAAAACATTTAATGGAGTGGCTTACAGTTCAGAGGTTTAGTCTATTGTCATCATGGTGGGAATGGTGGCATACAGGCAGACATGGTAAAGATCTTTCAGTTACATAGGAAAGTGGGGCAGGCTAAGTGCAATGGCACATGACCTTTAATCCTAGCCCTCTAGAGGCTAGAGGCCAGCCTGGTCTGTATAGCAAGAGCCAGCAAGAATTATACAGTGAGACCTTGTCTTGTGGGAAGGGTAAGTAGAGGAAGAGGAAGGAAGGACAGGTCAACCACAGGAAATGAGAACAGTTAAGTTTGGCTAGAGATGACAGTTAATATGAACTGAAAATAGTCTATGATAGTTGGATGTGGTGACTTTTCCATATAGGCTTAGTTTCCTGGGAGGCTGAAAGCAGGAACTTTGCTTAAACCCAAGAGTTTGAGGCCAATTTGAACAACTCAGTGAGATATTGTTTCTATTTTAAAAGAAAAGGGAGGGCCAGGCAGTTGTGGCACATGCCTTTAATCCCAGCACTTGGGAGACAGGGACACGATGATCTCTGTGAGTTTGATGCCAGCCTGGTTTACAGAGGGAGTTCCAGGACAGCCAGGGCTACACAGAAAAAGCCTGTCTCAAAAAACCAAAAAGAAAGAAGGAAGGAAGAAAGAAAAAGGAGGTCAAACTAGTAGCACACTCTTGAAATCCCACACCTCAAAAGATGGGTGAGAAAGATAGTGAGTTTGAGGATAGCCTGGGCAACATAGCAAGATTTCACCTCAAAAACAAAAGACAAGAATTAAAAGAACTAGCATATGAGAATAGCAAGTAAGACTGAGGTTGGGAAGTAAAACCAGCTGGTTCTGAGTACCTGATGTAGAAGTCCCTAAGTCTACTTTACCTTCTGAGATTTCTTACCTTTAACCAAAGAGCAGTAAAAACAGCACAGAAGAAAGAAAACCAGATCAAGAGTGAGGAAACTTGGTTTTGGCTTTCACTGTCCTATTTTAACAGGCTGCTTAAGATCCAGCAGATTAAATGTTGATTAATTAGACATTTATGCAGCTAAGAAAACAGCTTTTGTTTTGATTTCCTGCCACAAATCTTTGGAAAACTTACAAATTGAGTTTTAAAATGGAAATGGTCTCTTTTCCCAGCTTCATTAGCCTGATATTTTTAAAGATTTATTTGTATTTTATGTGTATGAGTTTTGCATGCATACATGGAGGTCCATCATGTGTGTATCTGTGTCTGAGTCTGTATGAGTCTGTGTCTATCTATCTGGAAGGACAGACGAGAGTATCAGATTCCCTGGAATTGGAGTTACAGTTGTAAGCCATGTGGGTGATGGAAACCAAACCTCAGTTCTCTGCAAGAGCAGCAAATGTTCTTAACCACTGAGCCATCTCTCCAGCTCCTGTTTGATTTTTGGTTTTTCAAGACAGGATTTTTTTGTGTAGTCCTGGCTGACCTCGAACTCAGAGATCCACCTGCCTGCACCACCACTGCACAGCTTGCTGCTTGATTATTTGTAAAAATGCATGTAAAATCACTTTATAGACACTTTTAAATTTTTAAATAGATTATTCTATTTAAAATAGATAAATTCTGATTCTGATTTCCCCTCTCCCAACTCCTCCCAGACCTCCCCCCCCCCCCCCCCACATACTTCCCCAGCAACCCAGATCCACAACTTTTCCCCTCCTCTCTCATTAGAATATAGACAGGCATCTTAGAAAAAAGAAAAAAGGAGGGGTTGGGGATTTAGCTCAGTGGTAGAGTGCTTACCTAGCAAACGCAAGGCCCTGGGTTTAGTCCTCAGCTCTGAAGAAAAAAAAAAAATGAAAAAGAAAAAAGGAAAAAAATTTAGAAAGGTAAATTCATAGCAAGCCAGAATAGGACTAAACAAATGGAGTGGGGTGAAGAGCCAAAGAAACATATAAGAAACACATATAGTTTCAACAATCTTTTTTTTCCCCCTAGTACAGAGCTGCACCATAATGGGCAGTTTGAGAAAAGTCTAATTTGCAGATATTAGAAGCAAATATTTTGAAACTAGTACATTAATTTACTGACTTTAATGTGTCAAATATGAGAGGAATGAATAAGTGAGAAGTGATGGGATTCAGAAAAAAGGGTAGATGGATAACATAGGCCCCTTTTATCAAACTCCTCAGTCTACCCATTTCTGTTAATGGGGCACAGAATTGTTTAAATGGAGTGAAAACAGTAGGAACAATCGTGATTACAAAGTAGACTTGGGGATCACTTTGATTCTGCCCACAAACACCTAAGTGTGGTCTCTTTAGAAATGTTAGGAACACTGAAGTAACTGTTTTGTTTGTGATTGTGGCAGTGGGTTGTAAAATTAAAAACAACACTAGGGTCTTCTAGCATGTATTCATCTGTATATCATCTTTGGCTGCTTTTTTGCTGCTATGGAAGATTTCAGTAAACACTATTATGGATGTTTTCTATCTGGCCTGCTACAGAAAAGGTTTGCTGAAGGGATGGACAAACAGATCACTGTTTAAGAACATGTACCACTCTTGCATTTGGTTCCCAGCATCCACATCAAGTAGGTTACAACCAGCTTGTAACTCAAGCTCCAGAAGGTCTGACATCCTCTTCTGGCCCTCACACTCACATGCCCAGTTACACATGTACACATAATTTTAAAAAAAGAAAGAAAGAAAAACTTTTAAAAAAAAAGTTTACTGACTCTTGAATGGAGCCAAACTCATCTTCTGTGGTACAGAAATAAAATCCAGAGATGGTGAGATGCTCTCAGATTACTCAGCTAATGGTCATCACAGAGTATACACTTCAGAGCACCTTGATACTACCTCTGTTTCGTTTCTTTTATTAGAGAAACTAATACCTGTGTGTGATCAGAAAATTTGTGTATGGAATTTTGTTATGAGTTCATTATAGTGGGAGAGATGGCTCAGTGGTTAAGAGCACTGGCTGCTCTTGGAGAAGACCTGGGTTCAATTCCCAGCACCCACAGAGGGGCTCACAGCCACATTTAGCTCCTGACCTCCACAGGGACCACACACACACGGCCAAAATGCAAGGCAAAACACTCATACAATAATGAAAGTAAATATATTTTTTTTAATTAATTCATTATATCACAAAACATTCTTTTTTTTTTTTTTTTTTTTTTTTTAAAGTCCATTGAGATTTAGATAATATGACTATACAAAAAGAGCCTTATTAGTTTGGGTCAGAGAAGAACTTGATTGTTGTATGTGTTATTTCTCAGGTAAAAATCTTTGGTCTGGCCAGCTAGCCAGTTTGATGATATGGTGTTTTCTTGTTACCTCTGCAGCCAAATGGACGTACTGTTGAAGTAGCTGAGGATGAAGTTGTTAGAACTCCCCGAAGTATAACAGCAAAGCAGCCACCAGAGACAGACAAGAAAAATGAAAAGGTAAGCTTGGGAACATATGACATTGTATGCAAAGTTTTTCATAAAGAGAGGGACATAAAAAAAGTGATGCTTTCGTGTTAAGATTTTTTGTGATAGGACTATGTGTCTTCCATTTAAGGAAACCCCAAAATCTAAAATCATACTGGATAGGTGGTTAAGGTTTCAAAGTCATTTTTAAAAGAAAACTATGTTACCAAATATTTTTAAATATTACAGTGGTATTATTAACTGTTCATTATGCCAGAAGTAATTTATGACTTGAGTATTTTTTTGTTTGAGTGAGTTCTGGCTTTATAGGTTATTTCTTATACAAAAATAGAATCATGTTACTCATGTTGATATTGTAATAGAAAAAAAATGCTTAGCAAAACTGTCAGATGATATTGTTTAAGTAGACTTCCATTGTTAGGGAAATTGAATCATCTACCTATTAAGCAGTTAACTTTATTTATAAACAAAAGAATTCTATACTGAGGTCATTTAAAAGGTTTGGGGATAAGGATTGACAGCATGACTAAGCAGGTGTAAAGGCATTTGTCACCACACCTGAAGACCTAAATTCTATCCCCAGAATCACCATGTTAGTAGAAAAGAAGTGACTCCTAAATTGTCCTCTGACTTCCACAAGTACGTGCATGGGTGTAGACCAGAGGAAGGTATTGGATCCCCTGGAGCTGGAGTTACAAAGAGTTGTGAGCTGCCCATTGTGTGTGCTGGGAACTGAAGTCAGGTCCTCTGGAAAAGTAACTATTGCTCTTATCCACTGAGCTGTCTCCAGCCCTAAGAAGCATGGTTTTTGTGCAGGGAGTAATTGTTTCTCAAGTTATAATATTGGCTACATTTCTTGTCATTTGAGTAAGCCTTATAGATAAAACTTGATCTAGAAAAGGAAAAAAAAACATATACATACATATATATTTTATATATAAAGTGCTAGAGTGAGCTTAAGTGTATAAAGCAGATTAAACAGCCTGCCATAGTTTTCTAGGTTGTTTGCTTTTTTGTTTTTTAATATATTTTAATGTCTCTGTTTTTATAGCCCAGACTAGCTTCAAACTTAAAATCCTCCTGCCTCCACCTTCATAATGCTGGGATTACAGCTGCATGCCACCACATCTATTAGTTTTTTAGATCTTTGTTTTGATACGGAGGCCAATCAGTGCCTCATTGATGTTTCTAGTAGAGATCATATAGGCACTGTGCTAATAATTACTGAAGGGGTAGAGAAATAATAATGTTTTTACCCTCAGAAAGATTACAGTCTAGGTAAGGAAAGGCAAACAGAAGCTATCTGGTATAATAGGGTATTTGGTGCTAGGTATTCAGTGGAGAAAGGGAATCCTACTTGGGTAGCCAGAAAAGACTGATTTGCTGGGCATGGTAGTGCTGCACACCTTTAATCTAGCACTCTAGGCCAAGGCAGGTAGATCTCTGTGAGTTCAAGGCCAGTGTAATCTACATAGTGAGTTCCAGGCCAGCCGGGGCTACGTAGTGAGACCCCCTGTCTCAAAAAAAAAAAAAAGAAAATACTGTCTTAAAGATGGGTGATATTTCAGTAACTGGAAAGGGGAAGTCAGTTTTACAGGGGGAGAATCAAATGAACATGGATGTTATTCAAATGAACATATTCAGACACACTTAAAGGAGAAAGCCTTAAAGTCATTTGAGGGATCAAGCAAGATTGGAGAGGCATATGTTTTGTTTGTTTTTTTATTGATGTATATGTAGAACCAGGTAAATTCGTGTGTCGGCAGCATTTATGATTAATGAATCCATTTTGTATCTAGGATTATAAAGATCTAAACTAAAGAGGAAAATCTGAAAGTTGCTAATTAGAAAACCAGTAATAAGCAAAATGTATAAAGGTTGGTTACTATTAGATTGTTAAAAGATAAAGTCAATTGTATCCACTGAAATCCTAGTATCATTCATTATAAGAAGTAGTAGTATTCAGAGAGCAAAATATTTTCACATCACTTCATCCTAACAAGCAACAGTGAGGGGGTGTTTTTATTTATCTTGAATAGCTGAATACAATATTTCTTCAGTTTCTCTAGGGTAGCAGTGCTCATTTTGGTTAGTGAGTCCTGAGAAAGGAGCCCTGGGGACCCTTTGGTTAGTCCCTGAAAACAAAACTATTTGTATGGTAATGAAAACATTTGCCCTTTTTTACCTTGTTGATGTTTGCACTGGTGCTGCCAAAGCAGGGGGTGAAATTGCTGACTCTACCATGGTTCAAGACAACAGCACTGAGCTACTTGCTGCTCTTCGTCCTTACTGCTGTCAGCTCCATTTTAGAAGAGTGCTTTATCAAGAATAATTGTGAATCTTAATTCTATGTATTTGTTAGCTTTACACACACACACACACACACACACACACACACACACACACACACACACACACACAGTATCCTGTCTGCACCACGCATGCCTGCACGCCAGAAGAGGGCACCAGATCTCATTACAGACAGCTGTGAGCCACCACATGGTTGCTGGGAATAGAACTCAGGACCTCTGGAAGAGCTGCCAGTCAGTACTCTTAACCTCTGAGCCATCTCTCCAGCCCCCTTACTCTGTATTATTTGTTACCACATTTATTTTGTGTATGTACATATGTGGGCACACGTGGTCAGGATAATTTGCAGGGAGGAATCCATTCTCTTGCTCTGCCTTGTGGGTTCTAGGGATTGAACTGAGGTTGTCAGACCTGGCAGCAAGTACCTTTACCTGATGAGCCATCTTGCCAGCCCTAAATCTTAAAGTTCTTGATTTTTAACTATTCTGCATGGTGAAATGTGACTGTATAAAGGTATACTGCATGCATACTGAGGAACGATTATCTTAAGGAAAAACACTTGTACAATGAGCTGTACAAGTTGTTCTGTTTTCCTTTGAAATATTGATTGATATACTGCATTGGCTTTTCAGACTTGGGTATCTGTAGGCATTTTCTCAGGAATAAACAAAATGATCCCATCATGTCAAGGAAAACAAGAGTGTGTTTATTCCCAATGATAAAAGGACTTTGTTGTCAAATAAAAATTAGAAATTTGAAAGATTTAGATTTACTACCATGATGTTAACTTACAGTACTTAAAGAATTTACGATGACATCACTAGTGGTATTATAAATATGACTTTTTAAAAAAAGAGTCCAAAATGGTGAATATGGTGGTTTGAATGTAATTGGCTCCCATAGGTTGGTTCATAGAGAGTGGCACTATTAGGAGGTGGCCTTGTTGGAGAAAGTGTGTCACTTTGGGGATAGGCTTGAGGCCTCATATGCTCAAGCTACACCCAGTGTGGGACACAGTTCACTTCCTGTTGCCTGCTAATCAAGATGGAGAACTCTCAGCTCCTTCATGGCACCTGCCACAGTGATAGTGGAGTAAACCTGAACTGTAAGCTAGCCCATTTAAATGTTTCCTTTATAAGAATTGCCATGATCGTTGCGTCTCTTTACAGCAATAGAAACCCTAACTAACCAAGACAGTGGAACATATTTTTCATGCCAGAATTTGGGAATTGGAAGCAGAGAATCAGAAATTCAAGGGCAATTTCACCTGAGCTAAGTAAATAGTTCAATTTGAGCCTAGCTTAAGCTACATGAGACCCTGTCTTGGGGGCGGAAAAAAAAACCTATGATGGAATATCTTAACATTAAATAAAATTTGTAGCCAGGCAGTGGTGGCGCACGCCTTTAATCCCAGCACTCAGGAGGCAGAGCCAGGTGGATCTCTGTGAGTTCGAGGCCAGCCTGGTCTACAGAGCGAGATCCAGGACAGGCACCAAAACTACACAGAGAAACCTTGACTCGAAAAACAAAACAAAACAAAACAAAAGTGTGTAACTTAACCATTATTTTGTAGTTGACCAACACATATATTACAAAGTAATATATAGGCCAGGTATGGTAGTGTAAACCTTTGCTGGGCAGTGGTGGCGCACGCCTTTAATCCCAGCACTCTGGAGGCAGAGGCAGGTGGATCTCCGTGAAGGCCAGCCTGGGTTACAGAGCGAGTTCCAGGAAAAGCACCAAAGCTACACAGAGAAACCCTGTCGGGGGGGGGGGGGGGGGGGGGGGGGGGGGGGGAGGAACCACTATTTGTAATAGCCAGAACCTGGAATCAACCTAGATGCCCATTAACTGAAGAATGGATTAAGAAAATGTGGTACATATACACGATGGAGTACTACACAGCATAGAAAAACAATGACAGCATGAAATTTGCAGACAAATTGATGGAACTAGAAAATATCATCCTGAGTGAGGTAACCCAAACCCAGAAAGACAAACATGGTATGTACTCACTCATAAATGGATACTAGATATAAAGCAAAGAACAATCAGACTGCAACCCACAGAACCAGAGAGGCTATATAGCAGGGGGGACCCTAGGATGACTGTGGCTTATAAGTTTTGGTTTTACTCAATTACTGGGCAAGCCTCAATGAAACATTTCACTATCACTATTAGAATAAGAATTTATACTGTATCAAGCTGATAATAGAAAAATAAATAAAAATGAAAAAAGAAATCTCACATCTTAATAATTATTCATTATTTCTCTTTTCCTTCCAATCATTTCTAACCGTGGAAACTTATCTAGTGGAATGCCAAGGGAGGATGCTCAAAATTGTTTGCAGAGAGAAAATTTCCCCTCTGTTCTCCATTGGATATATCTCTGTGTGGGCCAGTGATATAGCTCAGTAATAGATCATTTGCCTATCATGAACAGGACCCTGGATTTAACCCCCAGCACCACAAAATAAAACTTAACACACATATTTGTGAACATCTCTGGATTTTCTTCATGTGCCACAATCAAAACAACTTATCTCAAGAAGTTGGACAAAGAAGTAGATAGTTAAATTAAAGATATTTGAAATATATATAATGCTGTTCTCACAAACGTCATTTTGTTTTGAAAAATATTACTATGTAGATATAATTATGTACATAGATAGTTGTGGTTGTTTTTTGTTTTTTGTTTTTCGAGACAGGGTTTCTCTGTGTAGCTTTGTGCCTTTCCTGGAACTCACTTGGTAGCCCAGGCTGGCCTCAAACTCACAGAGATCCGCCTGGCTCTGCCTCCCAAGTGCTGGGATTAAAGGTGTGCGCCACCACCGCTCAGTTGTGATTATTTTTAAATGCATTAGCATAATTAAATAAGTAATACCTTAGTGTCTAAGAGTATTCTCTGACCAAGAGGTTTGAGAATGTCACCAAACAAAATAATTCCAAAGCAGCATACATTGAAATAAGCATCAACTAGAACAACTTGTAACAATGCTGAATGCCTCCTGAATGCAGAGTGCCTCCTGAATGCAGAGTGCTTACTTGCTTACATTTGTGGTTTTCCTTGTATAATGCATCTTAGAAATTATAGTTTAAATCAGAGCTTTACAAGTCATAGCTGTTTTTCAAATGTATACACACTTTAAGTTAAGTAAGTTTACCTGGATTTACAATTGAATGTTGAAACTACTTGTTTGCATATTTTGGGTAACTCCTAAGGAAATTTTTGAAACCAAAAAATGTGTTGCTAGAAAAACTGACTACTTGCACACAGAAAGTTAAAGCAATATTAGAAATCAGGAGGGTGCCAGGCTTTTTCTTTTGGGCCACCACCAGCTCTTATTAGTTTTGAGTGCTCAGCCTAAGGCCTGTTTCTGGCTAGCTTTTTTAACTTAATCTGTTTCTCTTTATCTACCTTTTGCCTTGCGGCTTATTACCTTTTACTTCTGTATATCTTTTACTGCTTCTCTATGTCTAGTTGGCTGGTGTCTGCCTGGTTTCTTGCCCTGGGCATGTCCCTCATTCCCTCTTCCTCCTCCTTGTTCTCATTCTTTTCAAGCCTAGATTTCTCCTATTCATCCTTTCTCTGCCTAGCTATTGGCCATTCAGCTCTTTATTAGACCAATCAGGTGTCTTAGGCAGGCAAGGTGAAACAGATGCAAATAATCTTTACATAATTAAACACATATCCTTACATCATTAAGCAAATGCAGCATAAACAAAAGTAACACACCTTTACACAGTTAAAGTAATATTCTGCAGCATCAACAAATGTAACGCATCTTTGCCTAGTTAAAGTAATATTCTATAGCAGATGGCCGAGTTTGTAAATACTTAACAGATAGACTATTTTATATATTCAGAAAACAGTAAAGGTCCTGAAGCCAATCCTCAGCACAGGTGATGGGTTGGAGGCCCAGGGAGAATATGACTGTGGTGGGGGATGTAATGGAAATGGAGCAAATGAAGTGGAACTTGAGCTGTGTCCAAAAGTTAGTACAGGTATCTGACATTGAACATCAGGAGACAAAAACAGTCACCCTAACACTAGCTTTAACACTTTGTTGAGATTCATGCAGCTTAGACAAAGACAAGAATGTTTGTAAAAATAAGTCTTACAACCAGATATTTGTATGTGTGAGTAAAGGACTAGAAATGCAGTTGAAATCTCTATAAAAGGCCTTTTATATATTATACAAGGAAGCTGGATTTTGCAGGTGGTAGAAAACATCTACATATGTGTGTTTGCATGCATGTATGTATGAGTACATGTATTCTTGCCTGTGTGAACATGTATGGAGACCAGAGGTTGACATTAGGATGGTCTTGTTCGATCACTTTTTCTCACTATTTTTTTTTAGGTATTTATGTATATTGCATATTTGCTTTTATGAGTTTATGCGCACCTTGTGCATGCAGAAATTCGAGGATGCCAGAAGAGGGTGTCAGATCCTCTGGAACTGGAGTTCAAGGAAGTTGTGAGCTTCCGTGTGGATTCTGGAACCAAAATCCAGATCCACTGCAAGAGTAGCAAGTACTCTTAACCACTGAATCACCTCTTAGCCACTCCACTGTATTTTTTGATGCAAGGTCTCATTAAAACTGGAGCTTTCTGTTTGGCTAGATTGGCTGGGTAGCCAGCTCTTGAGGTCTGCCACATGCCATTGCACTCAGCTTTTACCTAGGTGCTGGAGGTCTGGACTCGGGCCCTCATGCTTGCATAGCAGGCACTTTACCCACTGAACTCTCACCCAAGCACCACGTCTGTAGGTTTTTTAGAAATGAAGGTGAATGCTCTAGTATAGATTTGCTGGGAGATAAGCATTTAAAAAGTAGCCCCTACTCTTGAGTCTGTAAACAAGTAGGTCTCTTGATTCTTAAACCTTCTCTTGGGCTCTTCCTTCTGTTGGTTTGTTATGTTTTGTTATCTCTTAAAGCCTGTTCTTTTCTAATGAGAGACAAAGGGAATGGATCTGTATGGGAGGGGAAATGAGGAGGAACTTGGAGGAGAAAAGAGAGAGGAAACTAATCAGGATATATTGTATGAAAAAAATATTTTCAATAAAAGGGAAAGGTAGGCCTTGACGATGAGAATTTCTCCTAATATCTGTTTACTTGTGTATTTCACCCATTAGATTTTGGCACAGCTGATGTCCACTGAAATCTTTATTCAGTTCTCTAAGCTTCCAAAATAACATGTGACACTTAGCAAATAGCTTATAAATCTTGGTTGTGTGGAGACTATTCAAGAAAAGGCCGGTTGTTTTTTGTTTGCTTGTTTTTTTATTGACATACAATATTTGTACTTATTTGTGGAGTTGAATAATATGATCCAATACACATATGTAGTTGTCAAATCAGAATAATCAGCATCTTCCATCTTTTTAAGTATTAGCATTTCTGTCTAGTGAGAACCTTCAATCTTTTCCAGAAGTTGTTTTGAAATACATAATCAATTGTTGTGGACCTGTAGTTACCCTTCTGTACCAGAGAACATTAGAGCTGTTGTCCCCAATTCTGTGTGCCTGCTATTCACACTCTTAACATCTCTCCTTACCCTTCCTAGCCTGTAGTGACCTCTGTTCTAATTTTTATTTCCATGTTACCAACTCTTAAAATATCACAGTGAGTGAAAGCATGTAGTATCCCCTTGATAGAATGATTTCACTTCCTTGGATATATATCTGATCAGAGTGTTGCTGAGGATTGGATTCAGGACCTTTATTGTTTTCTGAATATGTAAAATAGTGTATCTGTTAAGTATTTAAAACTCACAAACTTGGCCATTTGTTGTAGAATATTATTTTAACTAGGTAAAGATGCGTTACATTTGTTATGGACTCTCCGTAATGTTTTTGGTATTGGCTGTATCAGTCTTCATTGACTAGCTAATCTCAATAAGTAGCTAAATGAGTGACTACAAAGTATGTTTAACTAGCCATTTAAGGCTGGGTGTGGTAGTTGCACAACTATAATCCTACTGTGCCTATGCTGTAATCCCAGTACTCTGGAGGAAGAGGCAAGAGGCTTAGGAATTTGAAGTCATCCTCAGCTATATTTGAGGTCAGCCTGGCATAAAGGAGAGCTTATCTCAAATAAAACCAAGTACCAAACCTTACTATAATTGTTAATGTTGTTTCTTTTCTGGAGACACCTATCTAAATGCAGAAATCATGTGGAGTTTTTGACAAGCCTTTGAAAGAACAATATAAAATCAGCAGGAAGGAATTGGAAGACTATTCCAGAATTTGTATCTTGTGTTGCTATTTTTATCTCTATTAAATTGTTAAACATACACAGTCTGAAATATTTTTTTCACATTGCTTTGAAACTGACCAAATTCTCTGCTTTATACAATTGATAGGTTGATTTGTTGTACATAGGGTTTGCCAGCAGTGCACCTTTATGCAATCAAACCATTATTTGGTACATAATTTTCTTCTGAAAATGGCAGTGGGCTTTAATTTTATGGCTCCTAGAGCCCCATGTTACAGTATTTTACTTATAGTATAAAACACATTATGTGTAAGAGCATAATGTGGTTTTGGAGCCAAGCAGACCTTGAAGTTTTAGTTTATTTACTAATTTAATGTGACCCAGTGGATCTTGTGTAATATTTAATTAATATTTCTACCTCTGTTTTCTCATCTCTAAAATGGGGTAATACCTTGTGTGAGTATTTTTAAAGAATAAATAAGAAAATTGCTGTAATTAGCACAAAGTAACCACTCAATAAATAACCTCTTATTGCCACTTAATATGCTGTTTTTTAAATCAAACTTAAATTTTTTAGTTGTCAGCATCTTACATTTCATTATGTATTTTACTGACAACTGCCTTTTCAAAAGCATAGCAAGATAATAAGTAACATTCTATTTTGCTATTTCAGTCAAAGAAAAATAAGAAGAAATCAAAGTCAGATGCTAAAGCAGTGCAGAACAGTTCCCGCCATGATGGAAAGGAAGTTGATGAAGGTATTTGAGCCAGGGAAGGCCTATAGAAAATATTTAAATTTTTTTAACTGAGGTGTATGGTATATATAAGCTGCATTTGTTTCACTTAATCTTGTATGTAGCTCTTTTTAATTGCCATAAATTTTAACATAAAGATCTGTGATGTTGTTAAGAAACACTTTGGTTATCTAAATCATTTAAGCATCCAATGGTGCTTATCCTTTAAATTTATGTTTGCTCAATATTCTGAGCAGTTGAGAGGCCATTCATCTTGTCTTTGTTTCCTAAAAATATGGTTTGGAGTTTCCCATTTTTCTTAAATTTACCATTCCTAAAAGGCTGTGTGCAAAATTCTTGAATAAGCCATTTATTATCATCACACCCTAAACTCATGTATTAGTAGCAGATATAACACTCTCCTGTCACTTCTACCCAACAGGATAAAAAGATAAGAGACAATTCCTTTCTGTCACTTTTTATAAACCATACTCAAAAATTTTATTAAAAAAACAAAACTAGAATAAAAAGTTTTTTTGCCTAAAATAACATGAGATTAGAATAAATTCTTAGGGCAAATTAATATAATCAGCACTCTTGGTTTTTAGCATAATATCTAAATTTATTATATTTGCCCCATCCCATATTTTTTTTCCCCTCAAAACTACTTTTTTGTTTTCCCCTTACTGAATAACATTTTTTTTCTCGGGCTATGTCAGGAGCCTGGGAAACTAAAATTAGTCACAGAGAGAAACGACAACAGCGTAAACGTGATAAAGTGCTGACTGATTCTGGTTCATTGGATTCAACTATCCCTGGGATAGAAAATACCATCACAGTTACCACCGAGCAACTTACAACTGCATCATTTCCTGTTGGTTCCAAGAAGAATAAAGGTATATTAGTGGAACATAAGAGTGGTACATCACATCAAACTCCTTTAAGTCAGATGTACAAATATTATGTCACAATCTATTTTGATCTGCTAACATCATTGTGCTGATATACCCTTCTTCATGAGAGTATTGTGAACCACATCCTGGTTTACCTCATAACAGCAGTGTTATTATTGCCTAATGAATGGCTTATTAAATTAAAATTTGCCTTTCTGCCTTGAGTCACATTAGAAAATGTTGTTGCTTCTTTCCCTCGTGTGTGTTGCTTTGCCCTAGTCCTCTTGCATCTCCATTTCTTAACAGTGAATAAGACATTGGTTAAATGGAATATTTATCACCATTCTGCATGTTGGGCACTTTCATTCCAACATGAAACAAGCATGTTGTGGTTAGTGCAGGTTCTGTCTATCCACCCCAGTTTTTTGTTATTGTTGTTGTTGTTGTTTTGGTTTGGTTTTTGTTTTGGCAATTTTGTAAGTATTGATAAAGCTAGACCAGAACTTCAAAGATGATTGAGCCAATGTTCTTCCTACCAAGAACTCAGCTGTGCAAACAGTATTGACAGCTACCTGAAGGTAGCACTTTGCATTGCTAGTGACCTCCCTGTTTTCTATTCCTTGGTTGTTAGCAGATCACCTTCTTAACCTTGTTGTTTTTACTTTTGTTCTTTGCTTGCTAATTTACTGAGATTTACTGCCATAGTACAGCAGTGAGTTCTCTTTATCCATTCTGCTGTCAAATAGTAAAAATAGTTATAGTATTTTTGTCGGTGACCCCTTTTTTCTGATTTGGGCATGCCTGCCTTGCTTTCGCCCCTCGTGTTTCATAGATGTTTTGAGTTAATGTGGTTTGGTTTGGGTATATTGTGATAATTATGCTTATTTTGTGCCGGAGAATTGGAATTTTTATGTTAGAACATATAATTCTCATTTTTTGCCATATTTCCTGTTATAATCCCAAATCTGGCAATGCTATTCTTAAATTGACATGCTTGCTTCTGGGATTATTGAAAAGGCAGCTCATGTTGAGATGAGGCAAAGTTGAATCCAATTTCAGAGCTCAATTCTCCAGTTCCTACCTAAAAGAACCTTCAGAATTTCGAAGCATTGCAGAATAACAGGCAATGCTTATAATAACTTATAATTAGGCAATTTTCCAGGACTCAGACATTTAAATTGACTAAAAATATGGTAACTAGAGACTTGGTTCCCGGGGGACATGTGAAATACATTTTAAAATCACTTTTTTCAATGTCAAAACTGGCACTTGAAGGAGCAATTTATTATAGATAACAATTGTATGTTCCTCCTGATTTAATGTGTATAGTGGCCTGTTTAGTATTAAATAAATCTTATTTCTATTTCAACCCAGGTGATTCTCATCTAAATGTTCAAGTTAGCAACTTTAAGTCTGGAAAAGGAGATTCTGCACTTCAGGGTGAGAGAAATTACATGTAACTTAAACTGAAGGCCCATCAAAATAGAAGCTTGTATACATGTCTCTTTCCTTACATGAATGATGTTGAAGGAAAGAAAGGGGGTTAAACTTACTTATACTTTCTACATTAATATGATCATAACCCAAATATTTTGAAAAATGGAAAAGGAAGCTCACTCACACTCTGGTTTTAGTATGTTCTAGCTCCTTCCCTTCCTGTATATAAAAACATTCAGTAATAATTTATGTGCAATTTTGGTTCTTGCTTACATCATTTAAACCAATACAGAAGGATCTTTGTTGGACATGAGTGTAATATGGACATAATGGGATAAAAAGTCTTTAATCTTAGAAAGTGTAGCTCTTATAAATTTTAACTGCTTCCTTGATGGTATCAAACATTTTGTGATAAATTAATATAGTTTAAAGTTATTGGGTGTTTCACAAACAAAAATAACCTAATTCACTCATTTCTCATCACTGAAGCAAGCAGAGCAGCGTACCAGCCTAAAGCAGAAGTGTCACAGAAAAAGAGAAGCATCTTCTCATTTCAGGCTTGTTCTTAACACTTCCTTAATGCCCAAACATCTCAGTCCTGGCTACACATCTAGGAAGCTGTCCACACACAGACTCTGTCCTCAAGGTCCTCACTTTAATTGGTATGGGCCGATGCCATGGAGTCTATTTAAACTTCTTAGTTGATTCTGACATGCGGACATTATACATAATATAATATACAAAAGTATATTTAAAGAAAGAACGTGTAACTAAGAAGTCTTCATTTCATAGTGGGTGAGTATTCAGAATATACTCAAATACATGTTTTCAGTTTGTCAGTTTGCCATTGAGAACATCACTAGTGTGCATGTTACATTTTAACCTTCTGTTGACTCTTAATAATAAATGATCTTTTAGTCAGGTATTGTGGTGCATGCTTGTAATCCCAGCACTATAGAAGCAGAGGTAGGAGAACCATGAAACTAATATGAGCCTACATAGTGAGACCCTATCTCAGAAACAAACTTTACAAGGGTCTGTGTCAGATCTCTGTAGTTTACTTTTTTTTATACTCAAGCTCCTTAAAGGACAATAAGAAGGAAGAGAGGACTTAAGCGTAAGCCGAGTTATCATAGAAACTTGAAAATGTTCTGTTTTTTTTTTTAACAAGAAATCATGTATCTATTTTTAATCTTTACTTTTTTTTTTTTAAGTTTCTTCAGGATTAAATGAAAATCTTACTGTCAATGGAGGAGGCTGGAGTGAAAAGTCTGTAAAACTCTCCTCACAGATGAGTGCAGGTGAGGAGAAGTGGAACTCTGTTCCACCTGCTTCTGCAGGCAAGAGGAAAACAGAGCCATCTGCTTGGACTCCAGACACTGCTGATGCTAATGCCAATGGGAAAGACTGGGGAAGGAGCTGGAGTGATCGTTCAATATTTTCTGGCATTGGTAAGAACTTTTAGGGGAAATTTTTTATTCATTTGAAATTGGTAATCTGAGACATCTTGGATTTTTCAGGATTGGTGACGGAAAGCAAACCATCAATAGAAGTATTGCTAAGCTGGGCAAGGTAGTGCATGCCTGTGATCCCAGCACTTGGAATGTGGAGGCTGGAGGATCAGGTCATCTTCAGCTGCATAATGAGTTAGAGGATAGCCTGGGCTACGTGAGATCCTGTCTCCTCCTCCCCCGCCCCACCCCACTCGAAAAAAAGGAGAAATAGTAGTCCTGCCATGCAGAAGTTATAGTGATAATTAAGTTATCTCAGACTCTGCATAGAATAAAACAAGTTGAAACTAGCATGAATAACATCATTTACTCTATATAGTGTTTTCATATTCTCTGTCATATTTTTTCCTCGGTATGGCTAACTGATGTAATTGTATATTCTTAGTGATGTCATAAATGCAATATATGAGTAGATGTGATAGATTTTAGTAGTTTTATTGAGTGTAAATAAAAATAGTAAATAAAAGTACTAGACAAGTTTATAGCATTCATATTATTTTATAGTCTATTAAAATGACTATTAGATGTATTTTTTTTCCTTGAATTTTAATGGCAAAAATTAGTAGTTTCCCTTTTGAGAGGCATTGCGTTTTAAGCAACATGTGCTTATATGTTATAGGAAAAGAAATCTTTATTAAATATAGAAAACTGCAAATAGGTAAGGGAAACATTATCACACCACCAAGTGGCAGCTATAATCAGTCTTTGTATTTACAGGGTTTTTCTCTACTGCATATAGTTTTTGGTTTTTACATAAACTGAATTGAATGTGCATTTTCGTGTTCCTTTCCTCATCGCCTAATTTGTAAGGAAAGTTTTACCTGCTCTTAGGAGCATGTTTACTTAATGGCCTAGTGTGCTGTCTTATTTAATAGCATAGTTTACAGCTATTCTGTATTATTGGAGACTGACTTTTTAAAAACTATTTTAGGTAATGTTACATTTAGTGTATTTGTCTAGGATAGATTCTTGGGAATGAGTTGGGTTAAAGAGAACATGAGTGTCTTCATCATATCGTCAGTATTCTCATACTCTCACCCACAGTGTAAGTGCCAATTAATCGTATTCTTACCAAAGTTGAGCTTTTTTTTTTTTAAATCTTTGATTTGATAAGCACAAAATGCATGAATTGTTTTGTTTGACTTTTAAATCACTGATGCAATTGGAAATTTTTCCATGAATTAATTGATCATTTCTGTTTCTTATACCAGTTAATTTATTCTATTCTTTGCCATTTGTCTAATGGCCTTATGCTGTTTTGTTGACTTTATAAAATTGATTTATAATTCATCATATAGTAAAATAATTGTTTCTTTGCTTTGGGGGTTTGGTTTTGGTTTTTGTTTTCTCAGAGTCTCACTATGTAGCCCTAGGTGGCCTAGAAAACTCTGTTGATAAGGCTGGCCTGGAACTTATGTATAGTTCTCCTGTCTCTGCCTTCTAAGTGCTGGAAATACAGTTGTGACCACCATGCTCTGCTTAAACATGCAGTGTTTTGTTTTTTGGGTTTTTTGTTTTGTTTTGTTTTGTTTTTCTGTTTTACTTATGGCAGGTATTTTTGATAACTTAGCTTAATTTGGGGAGTATTGGATACTAGGAAGTTCTTAGTTTGCAAGAAAAAAAAATACAGCCTCTTCTTTTACTCCTAGCTTTCCAACCCCTTTTAAAGACTAATGCCCTCAAGAAGCAAACTGCAGTTTATTCACTAACACTGTTGTTCTGAGTTTGCTCTCCTCCCCGCTTTGATGTCCAAAAACTGTAGAAATATCACAATTTGTTCAAAAAGATAGTCCCTAAATTCATACCATCATTTTCAACAGAGAAATTACTATACTAAAAGTTGTATTCTCTCATATTTAGTAAAAGGTCAGGTCTTATGGACTAGTAGTGGGAACACTGACCTTGTAATATATTTTTAGTTTACTTACAGAAGCTATGTAGTTTCACTATTAGAACATAGATTAGGTGGTATTTGCCTAGTGTTGTTACAGATAGTTAAGCAGGCAATTAGATGCATGGGCTTCCCTAGCTGGATTCAAGATTTTTTTTGAAATTGAAAGAGAACTGTATTAAATTAAGTTTGCAATGGATTGTTAAGGAAAAACGGCTATGACTGAAGACATGAAGAGGTGTGTGTGCTCCTTAGAATACAGTCATGTCGAGTAACAAGGCATCTTAAAAAGTGCATGCTAGGTGATTTGTCATTATGTGAACATGTACTTAAACTAAGATACCTAGGATGTAACTAGGTGAGAAAGTCTCATAGAGCCACACATATATGTAGGCTGCTATAGACCTAAGTGTTGTTCTGTTTTTAGAGAAATATCTTGAAAATAATAAAAAGGCAGCATGATGAAGTAGAATAAGGATAGACTAGTTCAGACAGACCTATTAGGAGTTTATGGACATTTAGTTATGTAACCCAAATGAACCTCATTTAAGTAATGTGACGATTGATTGTAATGAATTACTACTACGTTTGGTGTCTCATCTGGAGTAGTTGCTTAAATCATGATAGATAATGACATAGTTTTTATGGTGGAAAGAGTAGGCTTGGAAACTGACTTTAAGTTCCAGTTATAGCAGTAGTTTTCTAAGTATTAGTAAATCATTTGCTAGCTCGAAACCAGCCTAGCAGGGTTGACAGAAGGATTAGAACTCAGTGTATAAGGGAGCCACCCATATAGTAGACACTCAGTAAATAATAGCTATTGCTATATTAATTGGTTTTTTGTTTTTTTATGATAATCTTTAAGTATTGCTATCATAGTTTTAAATCTGTACATCTTTCAAGTTTCATTGCAAATTGAAGGTTGCAAGTGACGTTCTTTATTTTGCCAGCTGCTTGGTCTAGTGTGGCTAGGGGGATGAGTGCCTCTCAACAGAACTCTGCTTCTTTTGCATCTCTCACACTTAACTCTGCTGTCTCTGGTATGTGAAAACAGTCTTTCGTTCAGTTAACCAAAACATTTCTGTTTACTTTTAGCACTTGTTATTTTAAAAATTGATTAGCATCAAATATTGCTATCAACATAATTAATTTATGAAGTAACAAAAGCCTTTATGTTGTAGGGGACACCCAAGTCCTTATGTGCCAGTGACTTAGATTCTGTGGTCCACCACTGACAATTTATTAGCATAAATACTCCTACAAGGCCTTCCCCTTTAGGTTAGGACAGTGGTTCTCAACTTTCCTAATGCTGTGACTCTTTAATACCAGTTCCTCATGTTGTGGTGAGCCCAATCATAAAATTATTTTCATTGCTACTTCATAACTGTAATTTCACTACTGTTATGAATTGTAATGTAAATAATCTGTTTTCCAGTGGTCTTAGGTGACCCCTATGAAAGGATCGTTTGACACACACACCCAAGGAGTCACAATTCACAGGTTGAGAACCATTTGATTAGGACCATGCTCTTGTTACTAGTGCACCCCACCAAACTTCTGGTTAAATTTGCCATGTTTCTATTCATTCCTACTCATTATGAGTTTATAATTAAGCTTTTCAGATAATATGGACACACATACACAATAATGTTTTAGGACCTATTGATGCATATTATTCATACTGTCAATCCAGCATCCCTTAAATGGATAGGTCTTTTATTAATCAGCAAAAGCTACATATATTAAACAAATATTACTTAAGTAGGAGGGACACTTTCATTTATACTACTTGATTCATATAGCTTCCCATGGACTTCATTTGCTAATGATGTTATTTCATGGTATCTAGAACATTAGCCTAGAATGGGGGCCAGCAGACTCTTCCTGTAAAAGCACATAGTGAGTAGTTTATGTTTTTTGGGCCATACTGTCTCTGCTATAGCTATTAACTCAACTGTGCCATGATAACAAGAAAGCAACCAGAGATAATACATAGGCAAATGAGTGTTCTGACTTCAAAACACGATTCATTTGACTTTTTTCAACCATTAAAAATATGAAATTCTGCCGGGCGGTGGTGGCGCACGCCTTTAATCCCAGCACTCGGGAGGCAGAGCCAGGAGGATCTCTGTGAGTTCGAGGCCAGCCTGGTCTCCAAAGTGAGTTCCAGGAAAGGCGCAAAGCTACACAGAGAAACCCTGTCTCGAAAAACCAAAAAAAAAAAAAAAAAAAAAAAAATATGAAATTCTGTCCAGATGTGGTGGCGCACAACAGCACTTGGGAGGTAGAGGCAGGCAGATCTCTGAGTTTGAGGCCAGACTGGTCTACAGAGCGAGTTCCAGGATAGAGAGAGTTGTTACACAGAGAAATCCTGTCTCAAGGGGAAAAAAACAAATAAATAGATATGAAAGTCTTAGTTCATGGGCCAATCAAAATCAGTGGTTGGACTTGGCCTACAAGATGCAATTTGTTAACCCATGGTCTCATCAACCACATTTCATTTCCAGGAGTGCAAGTTAATTGCTTCCTTCATTTGATGACTATATAACACATATACATACATTCAGAGAAAGCAGTAGGGGCTACTGGAGATAAGTTTATGTTTATGTAGCTGATTGGCTAATATATATGCTAAATATTACCATATTTGTTGAGTAATCTGCTAAATTTTACATTGAAATATATTACTAATTTGAGTATATAATGAGACAGTAATCATCAAAATGCTAGCAAGCTCATCTATCTATAAGCAAGTAGAAATGTATAAATTAGTGAAGACTGTGAGGGGGAGAAATGATTGTTATTTTTATTTATACTAACCAGAGACCTATGCTTCTTAACCAGTTTTTTCTGTCAGTGACTCTCAATCCAAAGTGAATATCAGAGTCACTTAAGGACTCTTTACACACATGAAATTCTGATTCAGGTCTTCTGTGTAGGTGTTTCTGCGCCTGATAGAATGCTTTCATTTGCATTCTCAAATTAATTTGTAGCCGTAGAACCATGGGTTTTGACCTTACTTCCATGAACTATTATGCCCCAAAATGTATTTAAATTTTTACATAAAGTTCTGAACATTGGGCCACCACTGCTTTCATCAGGTTCCTAAGAGACCTTGTAACCCCCAACTCTCATCCCACCTATTCCTTCTCACTTACCCTCTAAGAAAAAACAACCAACTTAGAAAATAATATTCTGTTCTTTTAAATGTACCTGAACTTAACTCTCAACTTCGAGCAGCTCTTGTCTCTCTGACTTTTCTCTGTCTCACCTCTCTGGTTAATCCTGTTTCTTTAACTTTCTATGGCCTAAACGTTGAGCAGACTCAAACATTTTCTAATCATTTTTCTCAGGATGTATGCATACTCTGAAGCATCTAGCATTAAGATTTTGTGCTTTACTGCTTACCTTTAAGCTTGTTTTCAAAATTTTGACATTTACAGATAACAAAAATCAGACTCTGATTGGTATGAGTGGTGGTGTTGAATTAGATCTAGTTATTATCATACTTAATTTAAAATTGCCCTCAATTTTCCTTTTCCTTTTAATTTAACTCTTTTGCTATGTCTGAATTTTTCCTTTTAGGAGAAATAAGGTCCATGTGCAAAGTATAGAACTATTGTTATGAAACATCCTTAGGAAATTCCATTTTTAATTTTGTTGCATTCGTTTTTCATTTAAGGGTCTACTGCTGAGCCAGTTTCTCAGTCTACCACTTCTGATTATCAGTGGGATGTTAGCCGTAATCAACCCTATATCGATGATGAATGGTCTGGGTTAAGTATGTCCTTTTAAATTTTTTCAGTTACTTTCCTCAGAATTTTCTTTCTAGCACCCTGAATTCATGCTTTGTGTCTTAGTTCTAATCCTAATTTCTCCCCTTTAAAGGTCATAGTAATGTAATTTAACATCAGCTATACTACTTGGAACTTGATTCTGAATCCCTATGGAATTAAAACTAACTTTCTGTTATGACTGAGGCAGTTTTTGTTTTCTCATAGTTTTGGAGGATTCATTTTTAAATTTCACTGTTTTAAATGAATAATTCTATTTCTCTGGTTTTATTATAAAAGAAGGGATAGACTCTACAGCAGTGGCTTTCAATATCTGTGTTGTGTGCACATTTTTGTGCTAGTAGACAACCACTTTCATAGCCCAGTTTGCAATACAAACATAAATTTAAAAGGAAGAATCATCTCGGTGGTGGTAGTGATGGTGCCCCCTTTTAATCCCAGAATTCAGGAGGCAGAGGCAGTCAGATCCCTTGAGTTTGAGGCCAGCCTGGTTTACAGAGCGAGTTCAGGACAGCCAAGGCTACACAGAGAAATCCTGTCTCAAAACACCAAAAAAAAAGAAGAAGAAGAAGAAGAAGAAGAAGAAGAAGAAGAAGAAAGAGTAAGCTGGAGGCACTGTGCACCAGCCTTCTGCCAGGAGGCTGAGACAAGTCTGAGCTCTGTGAGTTCAAGGCCAGTCTGGTCTGTGTAGGAGTTCCAGCCGGACAGGGCTACATGCAAGACCCTGTCTCAAAAATAAAAGTAAGAAAGGGGAAAAGAAAAAGAAAATAGTCTTTGTATTGAAAAAGCCCACCATCTTCATTTAAAATTACAAACTTCTAAGGCTTCCCCCCCCATAAGTCCAATTTTCGGAATTTATTCTTTCCTCTGAATTTTTATGTCACATTCTTTCCTACCTTGTTTCCATCATTTTAGTCTTTGTTTTAGAAAAGAAAGTATAGATTAAATGTTCTTATTTTTAATTTTTTAAATTATCTTCTGGGTTTTTTTTTTTTAACTTTGACCTTATTTTAATAATTTTTTTATTTGAGTTGAAACCTCCAGAAAGAGAACGTTGATTACTCTTATATGTGCAGTACTTTGTTGTTGTTTTTTTTTTCCTTTGTGGGGTGGGGGGTGGGATTCTGACAAAATAACCCTGGCTAGCCTAGAACTCAGTGATCCACCTACTGTGCTTCCCAAGTACTGAGATGAAAGGCGTGCACCTTCATTCCCACTACTGCAGTTCTTCTCAGAGGGTTTAGTGTGATGTGTGATGAAAGTAATGATTTAGTAGTGATGGTGATAAAGGTAAACACAGACTGTCTGCCCGCGGCTGGTCTCAGGGTTTTGCACAGTGTCACCACACTTAATACTTGAAGCAGTTGCTGTACTCGTTCTCTTTAATCCCTGTGTGGTACAGTCACAGTGATGATAGTAACCATGGAGACAAGCTTTGTGATACAGTGACTGAAGCAGAGTCCGGACAGATTAAAGGAGATTAGGTGAAAGGTGATTAGAGAGGCCCATGTCTGGACATTAAGACGGTCAGAGCTAAGGCTGTTGGACTTGGTTCTGTGTTATGTTGGTGTTCTTTTAAACATGGTCTCACTTTGTAGCCCAGTTAGCTTTGAACTCTCAGTCCAACTAAGGCACTTGTTTGGAAAGTTTAGTTTTAGTTCTAGGTCTAGAATATGGTGTTTCATATGTCTTGAGCTTTATCGTATTTATCGTATTTTGGAATCTATATTGAATTATAAAACAGAACAGAATCCATTCTGTCTACTTTGAGTAGTTTTGAGAAAGCTCTATAAATTATAATGTATCAAGATGTGTACGGATGCAAAAGCATGGGTTTTAAAGAAAATTTGTCTGTGTTGCTTTTAGGACAAATAATCATCTCTGCAGTGCAGAACTAGGAAAGCAGCAGTAAGGGATCTGGACTGCTGAGAGTTAAGACCACTGAGCCAGTAGCTACAGGCTGTCCTGCTGGACATTTTACCGTACCTGTCTGTATGAGGGTTTTCTAATAGGAAAACCGGTGTTGACTGCTAAAGAAATAAAAATTACATATAAAAGTGTGTTGGTGAGACTCTAGATATTTAAAGCCAGGTGTATTCTGGCAAGATGGGTTAGTGGGTAAGGGCACTTGTCTCCAAGCCTTAGAACCTGAGTTTGATCCCGAAAACCCACGTGATAGCAAAGAACTGGTTCCCACAGTTGTCCTTTGATTTCTCCATACATACACATGGGTCCGCACACACACAAATGAATACATAGGTAAGTGTTAATTGTATGGGGGTGGTCCTGGTGGATCTAGAGACATGGCTCAGGGATTAAGAGCATTTGCTGCTTGTATGGGAAACCTGGGTTCAGTTCCAGCACCCACATGATGGCTCACAACTATCTGTAACTCCAGTTCCAAGGGATCTGATACCCTTTTCTGGCTCCATGGACATGGCACACAAGATATACACAGTGCAGGTAAACGTGCATCACATAAAATTAAAATGTAGAAAAAAAATGGTGGCACACACTTAATCCTAACACTTGGGAGGCAGAGGCAGGCAGATCTCTGAGTTTGAGGCCAGCTTGGTCTATAAAATGAGTCCCAGGACTACACAGAGAAACCCTGTCTCAAAAAACAGAACGAAACAAGTATTTACACACACATAAAGCAAGGTGTGGGGGTGAATGAGTATAATCCCAGTACTTGGGGGTTAAAGCACTTGAAGAGGCAGGAGGTTCAGGAGTTCAAGATCTTTCTTGACTACATTGAGTATCAAGTTCAAGGCTAACCTGAACTACTTGAGACCCTGTTGTGAGAGAAATTCTGTACTTATTCTTATATATATCTATAATTATAAATATATACATATATATATGTATATATATATATATAAAGAATACCATATTCAAGTTTGCTATGCCATATTAACAGCCTTCTACATCCAAAATTTGTTTTTAATTTATTTTGCCTGAATTTTATTTTTGTGTATGTATATGTGTATCATCTTTAATGTGGTCTTGGTTTGGATTTTTTGCTTGTTTGTTTTGGAAGGGTGTACTCATTGAATTTATCACTCTTGAATTTATAGAATGCATTGCATAGTATATTATGGTTACTTTTAATATCAATTTGCCACAAATTAGAATCAACAATAGCTGTCTCATTGTGGGACAACACCTGGTAGTGACTCAGTCCATAAGGCAGAGTGCTTCAGTAGTCGGAGTCTGCTGCTTAGAATGTTGTAGAGAACCGCCGGTAGTCCATAATGATAGAAACATGGAGTTTGCCGTGAGAGAAGGGACCAGCAGCAGAATGGGGCAGATTAAGTTGGTGTCAAGAGGGAAGGTCAAGCGAGCAAAAGGCTTCTCAGTGGACGATTGAATCTGTGTTTAAATGCTGGAGAACAAAATTGTTTATAGAAGTTTTCTGATAGAAATAGCTGATCCCTTGCCAGATAGACATAGTGGCACTCATCTTTAATTCCAGCACTCAAGAGAGACAGAGAGGCAGGCCGATCTCTGAGTTTGAGGACAGCCTAGTCTACAAAGCGAGTTCTGAGACAGTCAGGGCAACACACAGAAAGAAACCCTGTCTCAGAACAAAAAAAAAAGAAAAAAGAAATAGCTGATCTCTAGATTCAGGTTAACAGTGCCATTCTTGAACCTGAAACATTATTCCACAAGCAGATTAAATGAAGAAATAAATTCCTTATCCATATAATATATATTCATATATATTAATGCAGCTCTGTATTAAAAAGCATTGGCAGACTCTTGTAAAAATTTGGGGGTGGGGAAATGGCTCTGTTTAATAAAAGAATAAGACTACACTATCAGTCATTTTCAAGAAAACTATGTTTAAGAAGTTCATTAGGGCTGAGGATATAGCTCATTGATAGAGCAAAGCCATGTTCAAATACGATCACTACTAAAACAGACAAAAACTACATAGTTTATTAGCACATTAAACCTATGAATCTTAAGCATTATTCATTGGAAAATCTCTGCACAATTATGTTTTTAAATTATTAAGTAGTTTTTATTCAATCCCAGTTAATTAAAAAGTAATCTATTCAGTAATAAAAAAATAGCATAGGGTTTTATAGAGTCTGTAAGCACAGATTTGTGCTTCTGTTAATGTTTTTACAGAAATTAAACCAGAGAGGACAACTCTTTCTCAGATTTGAATTCTCTAAGTATTACACTAGATTTCTGTTCCTCCCCACACACCCTATAGTATTCATTAAGAAAGTGGACTTGTGTTAGTATGCTGCATATAAACTCTTTGTACTTGGTAGTCTCTTTTCTGGCAGTCAGTCTTTTTTTGGGTGTGTGGGGGGGGAGCTGAGGATCGAACCCAGGGCCTTGCGCTTGCTAGGCAAGCGCTCTACCACTGAGCTAAATCCCCAACCCCTGGCAGTCAATCTTAGAGACATGGCTAATGGACAAGTTTCCAGAGCTTTCCATCAATGAGTTTCCTCACAGTGAAGCTCTTACATTTGAAATCCTCTTACAATATTGTTAACAAATGTTTGGTATAAGATGAGAAGTTAGCTCCAAACATCTACTGGATCCATTTGTGCTTATAAAAATGACTCTACATTTCTGTATTTAAGATGTATCAAATATATTGGAGCTGGGATGAAGTTCATTGAAAAATACTTGCCTGTCATGGACAAGGCTCTGAGTTGAATCCCTAGCATTTAAAACGAAAGTGTATCTCATGGAGATTTCTCAAAAATCTATCAGTTTTAACAGTTTCATTGTCACCACTGAGAGTAAAAGCAGTAGCTTCCATTTGTTGAGCGATTACTACATTGCTGTGAGCTACTGCTGTAAGTGTATCTTACATCATCCTGTCAGAACTGCATGAAGTTGGTATAGAGCCAGGTGTGGTGGTGCATGCTTTTAATCCCTATCAAGGCAGCCTGGTCTACATAGCCAGGACAGCCAAGGCTACATAGAGACCCTGTCTCAAAAAAAGAAAAAAATAGCCAGGCTTGGTGGTACATACCTGTTATCCCAGCACTTGGAGGCAGAAGTAGGCATATCTGAAGAAAAATGAAAGGAGGGGAATTAAGAAGTATTGTGTCACATTAAGTGATAAAGGGTTATTAATGGACATTTGTTTGACAGTAAGGCCCATGTTCTTAAACTCTATATTAGTGCTCTGGAGTACTGACTGAACATCATATCTGTCTGCTTCTGAGACATGATGATAAATTTTGAGTCAGGAAAGGACAGCCTTTTATGTAGCATACTTCACACTTGTATCACTTGTTTCATATTTTCCTGACTAGAAGTTCTGCTTATTTTTGGCTCTTCCTATCGTATTGAGACTTAGCCCAGCCCACCCTGGGCCACAGTCCCCTATGGTAGAATGTGTCACTCTTTTCTTCTTGTACTTACTTATCTCCACTGAATAGTTAGACTCTTAGCTGCATATGACAGTGGCTTCTACACACTTACTTTTAACTTAGGACTTAGTTAACTCAGTTCTATTGCGTGGTTAGACCTTAATAAGGAACTGCCTCATGAGTAGATGAACTTCAATTCTGAGAAGATATACTTACTATTAATATGTGTCTTTCTGACATAAATTTGAAATCATGTGCAAAAGGTTTTGTCTGTTTGGGCTTTTTCTGTTTTGATTTTTGTTTGTTTTTTCCTGTGAGCATTCTCTCAGATCATTCTTTGGTCTTCTCAAATGTGTATTAAAGCTTTTGTGAAGATCTATAGTGTTTCTTCTGAAAAAGTAAAAAGTTGATCTGGGAAAATTAAAATAGCAGTAAGCATAAAACAGGCAGATTTGCCTCCTTGATCCTAAAATGTATGTCCAAGTTATGTTTGGCATCACCCTGGGAGCAGGTCAGTGGGACAGATTAGAAATCCCGGAAGCAGTGAAATGTATATGAGAAAACTTAGTATTTGGTATTAGTAGAATTAAGACATTATGGAAATTGCTGGGCTTATTTCAGTTAAACAAAGCTAGGAAGGCTTCCTGACCATTTGGAAGTAAAGTATAACCTCTGTCATCTTAAATCAAACTTGGCTGTAAGTAGATACTATAAGAAGGGATGTGGGAGTGAGTGGTTTGCAGGGAGGCCGGGGAGAGTCAGCTCTGGGAACTACTTAGCCAAGGAGAATTGAAGGCCTGTGCTCCCCTCTAGCAGTGACTAGTGATAGCTTCCAGAGTAAAATGTCAGTGCCTTGGAGCGAAAGACAGAAATTCAGAAAGTCGGGGCGAAGCTGTTTTTTTTTAGACTAGGGTGTTCAAAGCCCTGCAAGTGGCTCCAGTACGTTTAGTCATCAGATAAGAGGCACTGAACACTGGGAAGTGTTAAGAGGCTACAAGTTGATTGTTAGAAGAGGAATGAAAGTGCTTACCTAGTTGGTCATGATTTGGTGAATTTGAAGAACCTAATCTTGAAGAGCTTATAAAGATGTGAGGAAATGTATTAGGAGGTGACAAGAGGGTGTAGAATTTTGGTACTATGAATGAAGCTTTAATTCTGTGCCCTAGAAAACAAATTGATTACAAAAATATGACCAGACCTTAGGCTAGGTTAAAGATGGGCAGAGGGGAAAAAGTGCAGATTTAGAAGACTAACAAAGGAGAGTGGCATTAATAACTAACAAGTGTCTTCTGGTGTGTCTAAAAATTCTACTTAATCTTGTGCCTAGCAACATTTGGACAAAGGCTACCATGTTTCCACCTTTTGCTAGCTCTTAAAATATGCTTGGGGAAGAATAGTTTAAAATTACAGCTTAATTCAGCATAAAGAATTTTTAGTGTTTGAATTTTAGCTTCTGACAGAATGATGGATAACTAATTCACATTGTTAACTTTTAGATGGTTTGTCTTCTGCTGATCCCAGCTCAGACTGGAATGCACCAGCAGAGGAGTGGGGGAACTGGGTAGATGAAGAAAGAGCTTCCCTTTTGAAGTCCCAGGAACCAGTCCTCAATGATCAAAGGGTAAGCATAAGGAATTAAGAGATAATTATTTGTTAAAGAGACTGATCCCAGCACTTGGAAGGCAGAGGCAGGTGGATATCTGTAAGTTCAAGGCCAGCCTGTTCTACAGAGCAAGTCTCTGAACAACCAGGACTGTTACACAGACAAATCCTGTGTCAACCCTCCCTCGCCCCTCCCCCCCCCCCCCCAAAAAAAAAAAAGGAAGAGAGAGACTCAGGAGAATTCTAGGCTACAGAGGTAGGGACAATTGAATCTCAGGAAGGAGGAGGTGTTGAGCAGCATAAGAAACAACAGAGTGGTTAGGGACATTAGGCCTGGAGATTGTCACTGTATTTACTTCCTGGGAATTTAGATCATTTTCATTACAAATTTTGGAATCGGGGTTAGGGGTGTAACTCTGTAATAGAGCATGGACTTAGCATGTACAAGGCCCTGGCTTCAAGCCTCATCATAAAAAAAAAAAAAATCTTGGACTAAAAGCCGTATTTCAGAATGTTGAATGGTTAGGAGATTTGTTTTAGGAGGCTGGAGTGATGGCCCAAGGTTTAAAAACACTGGCTGCTCCTACAGAGGACTGGACTTGATATTCAACACCCCAGGCACAAAACACAGCATCTGGTGCACAGACAACCAAAACACCCATACACATAACTGATGTTTTGTTTTGTTTAAGAGAAGTACTAGCAAATAAAAGGTTCAGGGAAAAAATCAGTAGATAAGACTGGAGGAGAGGCAGTAGGTTACAGCAGTCCACAGTAGGGGGAGGGGGATGTGATAGAGATTTTAACACGGGTGGCAGAGACGAGTTAGAGAGGAGCCATAGAGACTGATGTGACCCTGTGCTCAGCAGATGAGTTTAGACAGTAAAGAGATGAGCGTGGTTTGTACACACTGGTGTGGGCAGGGCTGAGGAGGGGCCTGGTAAAGTGCCGACTGCACAAGCATGAGGACCTAAGTTCAGTCCCACACCTGGCAGCACAGTCTTTAATCCCTGTGGTCCTGTAGCAAGATGGGAGATGGGGACAGGAGAACCCCAGGAAACCCTGAGTCATCACACAGCATTGAGCAATGAGAAGATTCTGTCTTAAGGTGCAAGACAGCCTGAAGTTGCCCTCTGAGCTCCATGATGGTGCCATGGTACAAGTGGGCCTACAGTCATGCAAACAGATATGCACATGTGTATGTATGCCCCCACCAGGGGGACAAAGTTGGCCTTGACATGGATCATAATTTGGTAGCCTCTGCTTTAATAAATGAGAAGGGTCTAGAATAAAGTTTGAGGGCTAGAGAGAGATGGGGATGTTTGTGCTACTCGGTGTTAGATCCCTTGCCTCATATATATGCAAAGTCCTTAACACTGCAAAGAAAAGGAAAAAAGGGATGAATTAAAGTATGAATAGACACTTGAACTAATCCGTGAGCAAGATCTGAATGATACTGTATATTTCTATAAAATTTTATGTCTTTCATCTAAATTTCTAGGAAATTGAATGGACACAAAATTCAAGGTAGTGGTCCTTTCCTGGGAGGTATTGTAAGAATGGGATCTAGTGTTTGAGAGTTGTTGGTAATGTTGATTGGAGCAGTTTTGAGACAAACTCATCAGCCCAAGCTGGCCTTTAAGTCCTAATCCCCCTATTTCCATCCAGTGAGTTTTTAAGTAACACAAGTTTTATTAAAATTTTGTTAGTCATAGCTTATTCTTACTTAGATTTTAGAAGATAAAGACCAAACATAGTGACTGAAATTATTTCACAGTAATTGTGAGTAATATAAACTTAACCAGTTGGGTTTACTTCAGTATTTTGCTTTTAACATCAGATTTCAGATGATGATAAAGAAAAAGGAGAGGGAGCTCTTCCAACTGGAAAATCTAAAAAGAAAAAAAAGAAAAAGAAGAAGCAAGGTGAAGATAACTCTCTCTCACAGGTAAAGTTCCTGAACAGTGAACATTCATTATGATACACCACTGTGGGTGGTATGGAAAGTGATGTCCAGACACTAAGAATATGTAGAGATAAATGACAGCATGAGAACCATCTATAAAAATGTGTGTTTTGCCTGCATGTGTGTATGTGTACCACATGTGTCCTAGTACCCACAGAGGTCAAAAGAGGCTGTCAGATCCCCTGGAATTGGAGTTATAGGTGGTTGTGAATCACCATGTGGATGATGGTAATTGAGCCCAGTACCCTTAAAAGAACAACAAGTGATCCTGGCCACTGAACCATCTCTCCTGCCCCCTCCAGTGAGTTTAAAATATGAAAGTTGGACATGTGAAAATTAGGACATGTTAGAGAATTGTTACATAGTATTAGTATAATAAAAATTGTATTACCCTGGGTCTGGAGAGATGGCTCAGCAGTTAAGAACACTGGCTTCTCTTCCAGAGGTCCTGAGTTCAATTCCCAGCAACCACATGGTGTCTCACAACCATCTATAATAGGACCTGATGCCTTCTTCTGGTATGCAGGGATACATGCAGAGTACTTAGACATAAAATATAAATAATTTTTTTTAAGAATTGTATTACTGGTCTGTATATTCTTTTGCCTCTTCATTCCCTGAGTCCTGCTTGAACTCTTAGCCCTCCCCAGTCTCTGACTGTTCTTCATAATGAAATGGTCATGTTCATCAAGAAGATAGGCAGGGACTTGAGAAACGTCTCATTTGATGAAGTGCCTGTAATCCCAGCCTCAGCAGAGAAGGATGGGGTCAGAGACAGGCAGGTCCCTGAAGCTCATTTCTAGCCGGTCTCATCAATTGATGAGTTCCAAGTTCGGCTGCATGCTGAACTTAAATTCACATCAGAATTTTGAGTTGTTCTTCAAACTTACTGCTGTCATATCACATTCCAAAGAGCATCAGTATTGGAAGGAAACTTTTTAAATGGCATTTGCTTATGTGTATGTGCTTGTACCTGTGCCACAGCATATGTTTGGAGGTCAGAGGCCAACTTCTGAGAAGTCATTTCTCTCCACTATGTGGGTACATAGTTGTTAGAACAGTCATTAGAGTCTGACATTCTCACACCTTGACATGCAGTAAGTTCTGTGTGTTCTTTTCTGTTAGGAAATACCATCTTTTAAGACAATACAATTTAGTTATGCGCCTACTTAATATTCTAGTGCATATATTTATTATATATATTGTAATGTCATTTAGAATTAGTTCGTTAAACTTTGAATGTCTAAACAATGAACACGGGAAGCATTAAAACTTAAACAGGACCTTAGAAATTTCCTGGGTGAACTTTTATAGTTAAGAGAAAGTAAGAGATTTGTCCCTGGAATTACATGGAGTCATGTCATGACCAGATTGGAGTTCTCTGTATAGCCTTTATAATATGTATATGTGAAAACATTACTCCTTGAAGAAGTCACTAAGTGAAACTCCATTTTTAAAGTCTTGTTTCCATTATCAGCCTCTTTGCTGTGTGCTTCTTGTAAGTTGAATATTAGTTTATTCTTTTTGGGTTGGTCTGTTGATAGAATGGTTTCCATTCTGGGGTGTATTTGTGTTAGTGTATGTAATTTAAGGGGGCAGGATTTGGGACAGGAGTTCACTCCGTAGCCCAGGCTGACCTGGAGCTTGTAGCAGTCTTCCTGCCTTGACCACCAGCCAGGTGTTGGGATTACAGGCATGAGCTCACCATGCCTAGCTTGGACACCTTTTTAAGTGAATTTATTTTCTTAGGATGTCTTTGGGACAACAAAGTAGGTTTTAATCATTAAAGAATGAAGAAATTTAATCTCACAGACAGCTTTCTTCTGCAGGACACAGAAGAACTAGAAAAAGACATTAGAGAAGAGCCTCCCCTGAATACCTCCAAAGCCCGTCCAAAACAGGAGAGAGCTTTTTCCCTGAAGACCATGAGCACTAGTGATCCAGCTGAAGTACTGGTCAAAAATAGCCAGGTGATTTTTTAAAGAATAGTAAAGGTTTCTTGACTTAATAATTACAGAGTAATTAACATTTTGTTGAAGTACTATGCAAGTACACACCATTCTGAGTAGTGTGGTAGAATGTCATGCCATGTAAAGCACCTCCATCTATCACTGGGTACTCGTTGATGTTATCAGATTGGTTGTTAAACTACATTGGTGCTTGTATGCAAATAACCTTTTTATTTTACATAATAAGTCTGTTGCTGATCAAAGAGAAGCTATATGTGTTTCACCATTAAGTGAAAAGATTTTCAGCTCAGAAAAGAATGGGGGAAAAAAGCCAGTAGTGGTGGCCACAACTTTGATCCTAGCACTGGGGAGGCAGAGGCAGGTGGATCTCTGAGTTCAAGTCCAACCTGGTCTACAGATCGAGTTCTAGGTCAGTTAAGGCTATACAAAAAACCTTGTCGCAAAAAAAAAAAAAAAAAAAAAAAAATGTGTATGTTGAGGTTGCTGAGATCCACAGAAATATTGAAAAGAAAAGAGCAATGTATCAGGGTGGGGCACACCTTTGATCTCAGGAGGCAGAGGCAGGTGAATCTCTGGGTTTACGACTAGCCAAGGCTACATTTTTAGACCCTGTCTCAAGAAAAAAGAAAACAAAACACAACAGAAGCATGGGTTTTGGTACTACCTACAGTTTCAAGCACCCACTGCTGATCTCAAAACAGAGTCCCCCAATGTTAAAGAGGATTGCTACACTATACTTTTTCCTCTAAACATCTAGCAAGGCATGTAAAGGATAGAAGACCTAAGAGAAAGTGCTTTTTCCAGCTGCATTTACCCAAAGTACATGCCTTAATACGACCTGTTCAGTTTCCCAAAATGTAACATTTGTTTAAAAACTAGGTAACAATTTTTTGAAGTTTTCTTATTGTTTTGCTTCAGTTTGGTTTTGCTTCAGTTTGATTTTGTTTTGTTTATTGTTTGAGTTAAAGTTTCATATAGCTCTGGCTGACCTCAAACTCACTGTCTAGCCAAAGCTGGCATAAATTCCTGATCCTCCTGCCTCCACATTTCAAGTGTTGGAGTTTTAGGCATGTACCTCTGTAACTGACAATGACATATTTTTTAATCATGTGCTTTTTATGGAAATATTGATGAGTCAGAAGAAACTAGTTTATGAAGGGTCTGGATCAGTGACTGAAACAAAACCCTGATTTCCCATTGGGTAACTTGTATGTGGTGGTTTGAATATGTGCCCCCCATAGGCTCATATATTTGAGTATAGTTATGAAGTAGTAGAACTCTTTGGTAGGATTAGAATGATTAGGAGGTGTGGCCTTGTTGGAGGAAGTGTGCCACTGAGGTGGGTTTTGGGGTTTCAAAAGCCCATGCCAGATCCAGTCTCTTTGGGCCTGTGGAACAGGATGTAGCTCTCAGCTACTGCTCCATCACCATTCTTGCCACCATGCTTCCTGCCATGCTGACTAACCCTCTGAAACTATAAGCAAGACCCCAATTAAATGCTTTCTTTTATTAATAGTTGTCTTGGGCTGGGTCATAGTTGCACATGCCTTTAATCCCAGCACTTGGGAGGCAGAGGAAGGTAGAGTTTGAGGAGAGCCAGGTCTACTCAGAGAAACCCTGTCTCAAAGAAACAACAAAAACAAAAACAAAAAAAAAAAAACTGCTTTTGTCATGGTGTCTACTATAATGTATCCTAGGGGGCTGCAGAGTTGGCTCAGTGGTTAAGAGCACATGTTGCTCTTACAGACCAGGGTTTGGTTTCCAGCACCCACGTGGTGGCTCACAACCATATGTAATTCTAGTTGGGCGCCAGGCACATGATACATATACATACTTGAGACAAAACACTTACACGCATAAAACAAATCTAAATAATTTAAATAAAGTATATTTGAATTACCTGACTCATGCACACATTCAAAACTTGTTGAGGTTTGTGTGCCAACCTCAACAAGTTGGAGGAACTAGGCTACAGCAGTGGGTAAGACAGCATCCCTGTCTGAGAGAACGTGGAGTCAGTGGACCAGCTCTGACAGCAGGACTGCTGAGAGAGGGAGCTCTAGCAGTCCTGTCCTGCAACAGCGACAGTCATATTTCCCACCTAGATTGGATGCTTTAAATTCCTAAGTGTTCTGAGGTAAGGGATGTGATCTCAGTAATGCTCAGAGGTCATTTTATGAAAAAGCAGTTGAGCCTTTTTATGACTTAATGTAAGTAACATGAGAAAATATAAGGGGAAGAAGATGAGAAGTTCTAACAAAGCTGTAGGTGTGATGTAAGGAACTCTAAGGAGGTGTGAGCAACATTAATGTAGATTCAGTACCTTAGAGAAGGAAAGAATGCTAGCAGCTCTCTGAGCTCACATCACTTTTCTTGTGTTCGTGGAGCCAGGAAGAGTAGGAGCAAAAGAAACAGAAGTTCCCCTTGTTTTTGTGTTCTGGGTGATGGTGAGTGTTAAAGCTGACCAGTGAAGTAATCCACTCAACTCTCTCTCACACCCCTGAGTCATTCCAAATAAGCATTCTTAATATTGCACTTACGAATCACACTACCCTAAACTTCTAATCTCATTACTAGACTCAAAAGTCTGAAGATCTATCTATACTGGTTGCTTGAATCAGTAGGATTCTTCCCACGGAGTCTGCTTGTGGAACACACAAGCTGCTGCTCTTTGCAGTATCCCTGCTTGCTAGGGAAGAGGTTAGGTCAGATCATTGAGAAGGATGCCCTAAATTCAAAGCAAGCCTAGGCCAGTCTGGACTAGTAGACTGAAGGTCTAAAAAAATAAACCTAAATAGATAAAAGTAATTCACTATTTTTGTCTTTAACAGTTTTGATGAGTTCAAAGTTGGTGGAAATTGATTGAACTTCTAAAGTACTATTTATAATGAAACAGGAGATTCTTGTTTGAGATTCATTAGCTCTTTTAACTTTTGTTTTCTTTTTCTTTTTTGTGATTTTTCGAGACAGGATTTCTCTGTGTAATAGCCCTAGCTGTCCTGGATCTCGCTCTGTAGACCAGGCTGGCCCCTAACTCACAGAGATCCATCTGCCTCCTGAGTGCTGTGATTAAGGCGTGCGCCACCATGCACCAAACTAAATGGAGAGCCCACTGGGGAGTGTATAGTCTTACTCATTCTGGCAGGGGTCCCAAGTTGGTAGACGTTATTTTAAAAAACTTATCCCCAAAATTAGCTTTTGGTGGTTTTGACTTGTCTATATTTATCTGTTTTATCTCACTGTATTCATAGATGTTGTAGATGATGTTGTGTTTAGTTATGTCACTAGAGGGCAGAAATGAGGTATAGTACTACCTATTAATAATTAGAAACCATTTGCTTGCTGTTGGTCTCTGGATATTGCTATAGTACTTAATATTATATGAAATTTATACAAAATTCTGAGATAATTTTATCCCAAAATAGCCTATCAAGACTCTTCCACCTGCTAACTCTACCGAGCCATCTGTTACCTTACCAAAAGGTGACTCTGACAAGAGCTCTTCCCAAGTGCCACCGATGTTACAAGACACAGACAAACCCAAGTCAAATGCTAAGCAAAATAGTGTGCCTCCCTCGCAGAGTAAGTGCTCTGTTTGTCTTCTTGCATCTTTCTGACATCGTGTAAAGGTTCTGATCTTAGGTGTCTGGTAGGATAGTAGAACAAGCCCTGCCTTCTGAAAGAGCATGGTTCCTTGAAACTTCACAGAATTGAGTTGAGGCCCAGGCTGCTAAGATAACCTGAGCAGTGAAGATAATGAGAAGCTGGCTTGGTGTAGCTGCTCTCTTGGCTCCTTGCCTTTTTCCTTTGCACATGTTCCTGCGCTGCGTGTTACTGTCTTTCCCTCCTTTTCTCCAACTGTCAAGCAACATAATAGTGCCCCATCTCAAAGAGAGATGGGAGGGAGGGGGAGGAAGAGAAACCATTTCTGTGGGTTGGTTGGCACCAGTTGAGTATAAGCAGTCACAGTTAATACCTTGACTTTGAAAAGGAGGGAAGCAGATAATAGCTAACTTGAAAAGATCCAAGACCAGAAAACTTAAAACATAAAATTTGAACAATTAAAAGTTTTTTCATAGTTTTTACTTTTATGTTACTGATCTATGCTGACTAGCCACCTTATATTTTTCTCTGCTCACCCCCTCCATGTTTTTTCTTTTAGCCAAGTCTGAAACTAACTGGGAATCTCCAAAACAAATAAAAAAGAAGAAAAAAGCCAGACGGGAAACGTGAATTTTTTTTTCCTGAATTGGACATGTGTTTACAAACACTGTCTTGAAGATTATGCTGTTTATGCAATAATTTGTGAACATGTACAGAATTTTATATAAATTTAAACCAATTTTTAAAACAAAACTGAACACAACTACCATAAAATGGAATCAAAGGAACATTAATTTATGAGATTAAGAGGTCAACAGAATACATACTACAGTGCTGGAAGACACTTGGGAGAGTCTTTTCAATTGAACAAGAATGATCTTCATTGAAGAATATTATCCTGGTTTTACTACAGTTCCCTGTTTACAACAGATTGTGCCCTGTCTCTTCTGAGCTGAGGAATAGTGGGTTCTGATTAGAAAGAAGGCCGCCTAGAAACCAGTAGGCAGCTCCTTGGATCTTATGCACGAACTTAGAACATTTGAATCTGTTTTATGCTTAAATCAAAGTGCTTTGATCAAATGTGTAATCTGCCATATCTTTACATATTTGTTGTAGCAGTTTGTATTAAAAGAATCACAAGTGCAAATAAAAAGTCATTTATCATTTGTTTAACTAAACTGTCTTGGTTTAGTTTACAGTTCTTAAAAAGTTCTGAAAACATTGAAAATGCAATTGACAAACACTTGTATGGCTTACAAAGTTATTTTTGATAGTCTTACATTACTTGAATTATTCAAAATAACAGTATATTTTAAATTAAGAAAGGTAAACTATACTATTTGTTTGATATGTTTAAGGCTGAGACTAACAAATAATGCTCTTGTTTATGATTTGAAAACTTTCAGGCAAAATCCAACTTAATATTTTTCCTTTCCCTAGCAGTTTTTTCAGTGTCAACTCTTAGTTGCTAGTAATTTTTTTACTTTAAAATGAAGTAATTCACAATTTTTGAGCATATGATGAAGAATGGAAAAGTAGTCAGACAGCTTTAATTGAAATTGTGGAGACCTCCAGTTATCAGGAACACATTTTTTTACTGCCTTAACCTGTAGTGCGTAGAATATGCATCAATTTCTTGAAGGGGATTCATGTTTTTATAAGAATTTTCATGTAACTATTGCAATTGTGGTCAAAAAGGAACGTTTTCTGCTTGAAACTGTTGATTTAAATGATGTGTGATCTGTCACCATTTTCAGGCACTGTGTGATCTCTAGGAAACTGGCAGGCCTCTCTGTAACTGTTAATAGTGCATGCTTGGCCATGTACACTGTAAATAGCCTTTACCAAACGTGTTTGACAAGGACCATGATTAACATCACCTTAGTGAATTGTGATAAAGAAAAAAGCCATGATTTATTGACGTGAGTGGCTTGTTTTCATGTGGCGCCGGGAATGAACCTGTTTAAAAGCTATAACCAATGGTACTGATCTATCCATCAAAAACTGTCTTTATATTTGACTGTAGTTTAATAGTATTTTCAGCTAGGAAAGCTATAAGATGTAAAATGGCTTAGTTCTGCTGAAGACTGGCCTTATTAAAGGACGGCTTTCCTCACAAGCGATTAACATTTTTTTTTTTTTAAATCAGGTGTTAACATCTGTTTCAGGAACATGGCAGTGTGTTTACATGTTGTCAGAAGTTTTGTTTGAATGGGATTTCTAAATTAATTGACTTGTTTAAATAAATTCAGAAATGGATAGCATTGTTTTTATTTGCTTCACTATTGGGTAAATAATAGCTGATATGCCGGGAATGGAGACTTCAGGTGGCTCTGAGCCTCACACTCCCTCAGGGGGGCTGCCACGTTGTGTCATAAGGGGATTTTGATGGGGTCTGTAATTACAGAGTGTGCCAAAAGGTCAGTACTCAGAAGTTTAGTTGAACTCTCTCAACTCTACCTCACTGTTCCTTTCTCTTACAATTCTTTGGGCTAAGTCAAACATGAAACTATTTCTTGTTTCAGTATCTCCCAATTCAATCACTTCCTGTAGGAGGGGCACCTACACCAGGTAGCAACAATCCCTTCTTTGTGAGGAGAAATGTGTCATGGGAGTAGACAAAGCACAGGAGTACTCTGGGTGGGTCAGTGTGGAGATGGCCTCTGTGCCTTCTTTCTCTCTGGCTTAGGAGCCAGGCCATTGGTTTCTTTTTCAGGAGGCAGCTATACAAGTGAAAATTAATCCAGTTCTCTTGACAGTGTTGATTGCCCATTGCATTTTTATAGATCTTTATGTAGCAGGACAGTGATTCTTGTCACTGAACAGAGGAACTGATTTCTGTCATCAACTCAGAAAATACTGAAATCTAGGTAATGGTGATTAGGGGGTGGCAATAAAGAGGGGCTGCTGTTTTGTACTGGCTGGGATGAGGTCCCCTGATGCTGCCTGCCTTCCTGCCATGGGCTCTCTGTAAGGATGTGGTCCTGTCAGAGTTTTTCAACTGTATTCTCCCCATCTGTACCCTAAATTGAGAAACAGTTGAGAGAGTCCAAAAAGAAAGTATTGAAATAAGAGATCTTTAATGTAATTTACCATGTTTAATTTGTGCATGTATTTTATTGTTGAGGGGAGGTTGAAATAATTTATCCAACTCTAATAGTATTTCAAAATAGGCTAATCCAGTTTGTGTTTGAGTTAAAGATCCCAGAGGGTAATGATTAATTGCAGAGTTTAGTTTTTCTTAATTAAAAGCAGTCCTTTACTAATATAGTATGAAATATCAAAATTTAGGATCTGGGTTCTAAGGTGTCTAGTGGCCATCCTAAGGTTCTCCTGTAAACTCATTGCATAAACTGGAATTGGAATTGCTTTCAAAAGACTCGGGGAATGAAAATATGTCATGTGTAAGATGCACTGAGTGTTGTAAATAAAACAAACCATTTTTGTTTTGTTTAAATTGCTTGTTACATTCTCTGCGGGAAGGGACTTTGTCCTTTTACATTGGTCTAGTAAGATATCAGGCCATGCCGGGTGTGGTTGCGAGCACCTTCAAATCCCAGCACTTGGGCGGCAGAGACAGGCGGATCTCTGAGTTTGAGCGCTGCCTGGTCTAAAAATGGAGTTCCAAGACAGCCAGAGCTACACCGTGAAACCTTGTCTCAAAAAACAAACAAACAAAAAGATATCAGGCACTTTGTTCGTAGGTTTTCCTTTTTTCCTTTCTGTTAAAACCATGGTTTCAGGCTTTGCTACCAAGGAGTCAAGTGAGTAATTGCAGCCTGGTTTATATACCTTTAATCCTAGCACTCAGGAAGCAGGAGCAGGCAGATACATCTCTGTGAGTTCAAGGCTAGCCTAGTCTACAGAGTGAGTTCCAGGACAGCCAGGGCTCCACAGTGAGGCTGAATTGGTTAAGTTCCAGGTTTACAGAGACCCTGCCTTTAAAAAGGGTGTGGAGTTATCTAAGAGGACATCTGTTGTGATGCCTGGCTCACACACATACATGCATTACCCACAGAAGGTCTGGGGAAGCTGCCCAAGGCTAGTGTAACAGTGTGGCAGTTGAAGATCCTTCCATGTTGAGGTTGAGGACAGCCCGATTTCACTACACACTTCCTATCAGTACCTGAGCCACGTGGAGGAAAGCATTTCCCAGAGAATGTTCGTAGAAATTACACTAGAGACTTAATTTGCAGAATGGGATGGTAGTGGCAGGGAATAGTTTTTGGGTTTTTTTGTTGTTTTGCTTGTTTTGGTTTTTTGAGACAGGATGTACTACTGTACCCGACCTTATTTTCTTCTTAGTAGATTCTGAAAGAATTTCTGCCACTCAGTGACGGCTTTGGGGCTGGGGGATTGGCAGAGGTAAGCATGAGGTCCTGACTCCCAGCACCTTTCTAAAAAACCAGGAATGGCCACATACCTGCTTGTAACCCCAGACTTCGGGTGACTGACAGCAGGATAATGGGGCTTGCTGGAGGCAGCCTAGTTGCAGGTTCAGTACGAGACTGTCTCAAGGGAGTAAGGTGGCAAGTAATAGAGTGGGACATCCAGTGCGCCCCGCTCTGGATTGTGCATGTGTACATGCCACTGTACTAAATGACTGGTTGAAACTCAAGACAGGCTGAAACAGCGCACACTGCAAGTGTAGATTATAAGTTGTAATAAATGCCTAGCCATGCAAAATCATTAGAAAATTAAACACTACCACTGGCCAGGTGGTGGTGGCACCCACCTTTAATCCTAGCACTGGGAGGCAGAGGCAGGCAGATCTCTGAGTTTTGAGGCCAGCATGGTCTACAGAGGTAGTTCCAGGACAGCCAGGACCACACTTAGAAACTATCTCAAAGAGAAAAGCACTGCTGCTGTTTTGTTCTTTCTGAATATTTTTAACAGGACAGTGATCCTAACTCCAGCATCAAGACATGCATGTGTTTTATTACATTGATGAGGCGGGAGTCGCACAAGTTACTGTGGCACTCATGGGGGTTACTTGAAGAGAAGTCTCTTCTCTCCTTCCACCCTGTGGTCCTGGGGATCAAACTCACGTCTCCAGGCTTGGCAGCAAGCGCCTTTACCCACTGAGCCATCTTGCTAGCCTGACCATTTTATGACTCTGCTTTCCCTTTAGTTTGTACCAAAGTATTCAAAATTAATATATGTTAATCCCAGGGGTGAGATACCAAAGCCAAATTTGAAGCAAGCTTTAATTAAATAGTGGCCAGGTAGATAGGCTTTGGCCAGATTCATACCCAGGTTCCTGGGAAATGGCCCTGAGTCATAGTTTGCAGAGGCTTAAAGAAGAAAACCCATAATTCATTACATTTCCCATCAGGGGCAAGCATTGATGTACCTCCAGCCTACATCCATTCGGGCAAGTAACATACTGACATTTCCTGCCTGTGAACCTCCCGCCCACATATGATAAGCACATCCGGTGCACATGTGTCAAACAGTTTAGGGGAGTGAAAACACATGACTTATTATCCCCCATAAACAATAGCCTCCAGCAGATCAGAAACATTTTTGTTGCATGGATCTCTAAGGCATAGTAATTAAAATGTAACTTTGGCTCAAACAATGTAACACTTCTAGAAACTTGAAAGCATAATAAAAAGGTTCCTCTAAAACCATCACTCTTCTTAAATGAAACATTGCCTGCATGGGAACTTCAGAAGTGAGCTTGGCTGTTGTGTAATGGATGAAAATGGCTACTCAAATGCCTGTTGGGGAGATGACTAAGGATCCCAGGTGATGTGTGCTCTGGTCTCAGCCTTTTCACACAGCCACCCTTAAGACACAGCCTGAGTAAGTTCCTGAGTACTCAGGTACAATGGCTAGATGTGAGTGGTGTCATGGAGGTCAGTGCTCTTCTAGGGGCATGAGAATCATATGAAGTGTTGGCTAGAGATCTGTGAAACACCAAAGGGAGTTCATGGTACAATAACAAGTGCTGTTTCGAGACTTAAGGCAATGGAATAATTACAAATTAGTCTCTTCTAAAGTGCTTTTAATGTGTTAAAATAGGAGATTACTATTATAGCAATTCCCATATCTAGTCGGAATTGAAACAGCCCAAATAATGAAAAGTGAGAGAAAACCTGCCTAAGCACTGGCCTAGCAAAGGAGGCATCCTGGAACCAGTTGTGTCTGTCCTAGAATAAGATTAAGGATGCATATGGAGTTAGTTAAATTATAACACATTCAAGATTGTGACTTTATGCTGAAATGTATTTAACAAAATTCAGTAGCAGCTGGGCGTGGTGAAGCACACCTTAGATCCCAGTAGAGGCAGGTAGAGCTCTTGAGTTCAAGGACAGCCTGATGTGAATAGTTCCAGGACAACAGGGATATGTAGAAAGACCCTGTTTTGAAAAACAATTCAATGGCCATTGCCCCAACCCTTTTTAAAACTTAAGTGCAGTGAAGAGTCATCTCAGCACCTGGGAGGCTAAGGCGGGAGAACTTGGATTCAAGAGCAGTCTGGGTTATATAATGACACTGTCTCAAAGTAAAAGAAGTCATCTCGAAGTCAGCTAGTCAACGTAGTCTTGGGCTTACCGACATTCATTAAAGGAAATCAACAATAAAACATTGAAAAGGGTTATTGATGACTTCCTGATTATTTAATCAGAGAAGATAGCACTAAGCAGACAGCACACTGAAATAGTGAATACATAAAACTCTAGACCCCTGATAGACAAAGTAGAAAATTTCTAGTTATATTAACTAAAATGATTATAAAGAAAATTGGAGGAGGCTGGCTGTGGTGGTTCATGCCTTTAATCTTTAATGCCAGCGCTCAGGAGGCAGAGGCAGGCAAATCTCTTAAGTTTGAGGTCAGCCTGGTCTACAGAGTGAGTTCTCGGACAGCAGAGGAAAGAGAGAGAGAGAGAGAGAGAGAGAGAGAGAGAGAGAGAGAGAGAGAGAGAGAGAGAGAGAGAGAGAATGAGAATTGGAGAGATGACTCATGACTCAGTGGGTAAGACCTCTGTTGTGCTTGTTAGAGGACCCCAGTTTGGATCCCCAGAACCCACATAAAGTCAGACACAGTAGTGTCTTATATGCCTGTAGTCAGTGTTCTTATAATAGGGTGGGAGACAGGATTTCCAGAAGCTTGGTGGGCAGCTAGCCTTTGGCAAAACAAGAGACCTTGACTCAAGGTGAAAGGTAAGGGCTGACAGCTGGGATTGTCCTCTGACCCTCATGCCACAGCACACAGCAGTTTGCACCACAGTGTGTGCTAATACACTAATTGG